CGAGTGGGTGGGCCGCTTTCGGCAAAGCGGGTGCTAGGAATCCAAAGGATTGTCCCCACCGGATGGTAACGGTTTGAGAAGCCGAATTTGGGGTACGGTTGCTGCTTGAGCCTTCGCTCAGTAACCATTCAGATATTCTTCTTTGTACTCAGGCGGTGCCCAGAGTCTCCCGTTCGCTGGGCAAACCTGAGCAGTGCTGGCATTCTGGTCATCGCTGTGCGCGTAGAAACCTTTGCCCCCAGCTCAGGCTGCACTTTCAAAGACAGGAGGGATTAAAATCTGCAGCTCTTTTGTCTGTTTCTAGGGGCCCTGGTGAAGACGGATGAGCAAGAAGTGATAAACTTTTTGTTGACAACAGAAATTATCCCCCTCTGCTTGCGCATCATGGAGTCTGGCAGCGAACTTTCCAAGACGGTATTTGCTTTTAGTTGAATTAAGTGATTTGTTTTTGTTGGTCGTTTCCCAGGGGTTCTGTTCATGTCCCTGCACGCAGCAGATCAGTGCGTCTTACCAGTTAGTTTGAACGTCTCCCTGTTGCAACTTGACATCGTAAAACGACAGGGGCAATTGCTGATCCCTTTAGCGCCTTTCAAAATGTTGCTGTGAAGATCCGAGCTGGATGTTATCCACCGTCGTCCTCCGCAGTAGCCAGAGAATCGTATTCCGTCATTCCTGTACCTAGCTTAGTCACTGGGGGTTGATTAAAGCATCTCTTCCAGAGAGGCAGCCTGGCTGTTAACACTTGAGATGAAAACCACAAGCCAGCTGGGCAAGGTTGTGTATGAATAAGCAGGGCCATGGGATGGGGTGTTCCCCTCTGTCTCCCCTCTCTCGACAGTTGACCGGTCTGAATTGCCCGTTACCTCGGGCAGCCTGGCAGTAATTGTTAGGCCATGTCCACACTACTACTTACGTCGCTCAGGGGTGTGAATATTCCATCCCCCCGAGCGAGCTAAGTGACGCTGGCATAAGCAGCGCAGTGCACAGCGCTGTGTCGGCGGGCGAGCGTCGCTCACCGCTCGTTGGGGGTGTTTAATGATGCCGACGGGCGAGCTCTGTCCCGCCAGCGTAGAACAGCTGCATGAGAGATCTGACAGCGGCACAGCTGCATCGGTACAGTTGTAGTACAGACATAGCCTTAGTGAACATACGACTCAACACAGCCCTTCATTGTTATCCAGCTGCTGTATCTGCCTCTCTTCCCTTTGGAGCGTTGTTCTAGCTGTGTTTGCCCCAGGATGTTTGAGAGACAAGATAGGTGAGGTCATATCTGTTGTTGGGGAGAGAGACAAGCTTTCCAGCTACACAGAGCTCTTCCTCAGGCCTGGGAAAGGTGTTACAGGTAAATAGGAGGTGAAACAAATGGTTTAACGCACGTTGTTCACACACATTCTGAGGGGGACACATTCAAGGTGAAGTGGCCCATTAACACCCTGGCAGTCATAGGACAAAAAAGAGGGGTTAGTGGGTTACAGATTGTGGTAACAAGCCATAAATCCAGTGTCTTTATTAAGACCATGATTTTTAGTGCCTAGCAAAGTTATGAATCCCTGGCTGGGATGATTTAGTTGGGGATTGGTCCTGCTTTGAGCAGGGGGTTGGACTAGATACCTCCTGAGGTCCCGTCCTACCCTGAGATTCTATGAGTCTATTAATTTAAGCTCCCAGGCTCGTCTTTTGAAAGTGTTCTGTGGGTTTCCTTTGAGGCCGAGGACTGGTAGGTCAGACAGAGAGCGATCGCTTTGGGACAGGCGTTCGCCCGCAGGACACGTGGTGTGTTCGTCTTTTATCATTTTTCTGTGAGTTTATATGGGGGAGTATTGATTTCATCCACGTCATCACTGTTGGGGCATTGGGTGAGGTGCACCACATGTTGTGATAGGTATGTACAGCGCCCAGGGATCCTTGAAAGGTGTGTTGTGGGGTGTATATCTCTGTAGCGGTGGAGAGGTGTCTGCAGGTTTTGCATCTGTTGTTCGGGTCAGGGTCTGGTGCCCCTTTGAGTCGGTGAGTCCTGATCTGTTTGTTCCTTTCTCCCCTTCACAGTGAATTCCATGTGCTATGTAAAGACCAGCTGTTCCTTCTGGTTTGAAACTGAGTAAACCTGTTAGCCCCCCCTGTTGAAATACTTGGTGCTCTTGGCATGTGTCCATTTTGCAGTTGGTTGGGGTTGCTGTCAGAAGAACAAACAAGACGTGGTCCATTACAGGAGCAGCTGGTTAAGTGATTTCTCCCCTCTGTTCCAGGTTGCTACGTTTATTCTACAGAAGATCCTCCTGGATGATACAGGATTGGCGTATATCTGCCAGACTTATGAGCGGTTTTCTCATGTCGCCATGATATTGGTAGGATCGGTTGCTCCCTTCACTTACTAAAGGGGTTATGCTGGAGCACCCGGTGGCTTGTGTTTACTCATGATTGCACCTGTTGCCAAGGGGCTGTCCTATGCAGGCTTCCCAGGGCCACTTTTGTAAATTCACCGGCAGCTTCTCGTCTAACTCTTACTGGGATGGGTGTAAAACAGAGAGTTGATATTTATGAATAGACTGACTAAAACCTGCACAGTTAGAATCTCCAAGGAAGATCCCTCAGTAAGGGGAGTGAGATGGGACGTAAACGATGCAAAACGAGCTATTTTAGCAGAATTGATCAGTTAATATCCAATGGGCCTGAGGTCGGATTATGTAGATTTCTGTCAAGTGCTTATTAGACATTCGTTACCCCTCTCTTACGGCTCTAAAGGAGGGGGAATGCTGTCACCTGTAGGCAAATCGAGTGAGCAGATGCTGAAAACATAGTCCTGGGAAATGCTTTCCATCCTGACCCTTGGACCAAAACTCAGGGAGGTGGAACTCTTGCAGGTCCTGGGTTGAATATGAATTAATCAAGTTTTGAAGGAAATGGCCGGTGATATAATCTGTAATGACCTCTGGGTCCATCCAGCTGTAAGTGGGTCTTGGTTGGAGAGAGCCCCGCAGTAGTGGCCCTGGTTTGGCCAGGATCTTTGAGTGGGGGTCATCTCCTATTAGTGTTACTCGCTAGACTGGAAAGATGCTATCCACCTGCCAACAGGCACCAGTCACCTCCGCTTTGGTGGCTGCCAGAACCCAGTCCCGGTCCTGGGAGAATGAAACAAAACCACCGAAGTTCAGCACTTCCTAGTGCTTTTTCTTAACACCGTTTCTCTAACTGGAGCCGCTCCTTTGTTGAACAGGGTAAGATGGTCCTTCAGCTCTCCAAGGAGCCGTCAGCAAGGCTGTTGAAACACGTGGTCCGCTGCTACCTTCGCCTTTCCGATAACCCAAGGTAAACATTTTAGGAGTTTTCAGGGGTTCCTGGGGGGCCAGAGAGCAAAGGTGCTTCCCCCTCTTGCTGGAAGCGCCGTTCCATCGGGATTCCCACTTCGTGTGTCTGCCTCTCGGTCAGCCTTGGGACCTTTCTCGCGCCAGGCCTGTGAGCTCCCCCAGCACCTGGGCTCTGCCTGACTCTTGTAACACAGGTTGAATGGTCATAAATTACAACTGTCCCAGCGTGACTTGACCCCGTAGGGACCAGTGCCGCTGCGTGAGCTCTGCCTCGCTCCTTTGGGGGTGTGCTGGCAGGTGAGACGGAGAAGTGCTGCAAAGGGCTCATGGAGGGCGGAGTGGTGGAGTAACGAGGGGCCACTTCTCCGGCTAGCTATATTTGTATTTACTCCGGCCCTTGCCGGGCAGGCTCTGACGCTTCTGACTCGGTTTGCTGTGCAGACATGCCGCCCCCCTCGTGTCCGGAAGGAGGTTGTGACTGGGAATGCGTTGGGATGGGGGGGGCCCTTGGGTCAGTTCCCTTTAATGTGGGGGATCTGCCTGGAGCTCTTGGGTTTGGAGAGGAGGGAGGTCCTGGCCACGGTCTGGGGGGTGGAGTTTCCCAGGCGTGCTCAGAGCAGCCTGTCCCAGCAGGGGGCCTGCTCCCCTCTTGTCAATGTGAGTTTATTTGTTGGTCCCCCTGTTTCTTGTCTCCTGATGTAGGGCACGAGAGGCTCTCAGACAGTGCCTTCCTGACCAGCTGAAGGACACCACCTTCGCCCAGGTGCTGAAGGACGACACCACCACCAAGCGCTGGCTGGCACAGCTCGTCAAGAACCTGCAGGAGGGTCAGGTCACCGACCCCAGGGGCATCCCCCTGCCCCCGCAATGACACCCGCGGAGGGCGGGGCACCAGGGAGGAAACAGCTCAGGTTTACAGAGAACCAGGAACCGATGACCTCTTCCAGAACCGCCTGGGTGCGCAGGCCAGCCTCCGGCCTGCCCGCCTCCCAGCCAGCAGGACCGTTCCCCCAGCCGCGGGGGGATTGTGACACCAGCACATACTGTTACTGCAGCTTAAAAGCCAAGCACCGCCTCTTCCCAGCTCGGCTGGCGTCTGCCTGGGGCCGTGCTGGACGTGGACTCTTCCCCGTAGCGCAGTCTCCGTGCCGGCGGCGCGTGGCCTCGCATTCCTTGTCACTCTCACCGTTTACAAGTCTGTTAGACGAGCGAGCTCAATAAAAGTTGACCCAGTTGTTTTATCCCCTCCACAGAGCGCGAACCGGCTGCGTCTCGCCCGGGGGGCGGCTCTCTCCCTGTCTGACGGGAGGCAGCTTCTTTCTGGCTGCTACAGCTGCCTCCCGGGCTTTGGTTTCCGTTTGCCGAGGGCGATGGCTGGAGCCAGGCCCATCTGCACTCCGCTGGCTGGGGGAGCGAGGGAAGGCTTTGATCCTGGGTTCTGGCCCGTCCCTGGGGGTGGAGGTGACAGCAGGGTAGCGTTCCTGGGCTGGAAATTGTGCATTGCAGCCGCTGTGACTGCTGTGCTCAAAGCCCCGTGAACTGGCTCTCCGGCGTCCCCTGGATGAAGTACAGCGCCGCCTCCTAGTGTTGCCCTCTGCCGGCAGGACGGAGCTGGGTTCGGAAGCCCGCGCTGCTGGCCAGAGCCCGTTGGAGGAGGAGATCCTGCCTCTGGGCGGCAGGGGACACGGCAGGAGCCAGTTCAGGCAGGTGCCAAGGGCTCCAGGGACGTCAGCTTTTCTGGGGCGCCAGGCCTCGAGGCTGCCTCCATACACAAGGGCTCTGGCTCTCCTGTCTGTCCCCCATCCGTCCCTTCTCCCCCGGCCCAGTGTTGGCATCTGCCTCAGCCCACAGCAATGAAGGCGCATGCCTGCCTGCGTGGAGAGGGACAGGCTAGCTTTTCCAGCTGAACCGAGCGGGGAGGCAGGGTGGCTGTAACTTGTCCAGCAAGGCTAGAAGCCGGGGCCCCCTGGTGACAGCCATGCCCTCGCCCTGCGGTGAAAGCTGGGCTTGGCTGTGCCACCGAGCAGCCAAATCTTCCTAGGGGAGAAGCTTTGTCCCTTTTTGCTGATCGTCGGCCATGTTGTTGTGCCAACAGTGTCTTAACCTCCTCCAGGCCTCTCCTCCCCCAGCCCGCGGCCAGCCCCGCGGGACGGGGGCAGAGCGCCAGGCTCCCTCCCTTACCCCGGGCTCTGGTTTTATAACGGATAGTCTCATTTTTGCCATCCCCGCCTCGACGCGACTTAAAAATGCTTCTGTTTTGTAACTTAAACTTAATAAAAAAAAACCCCAAAGCACCACTGTTCCCGTCTGATCTCTGAGTGTGGGATCAGAGAGGGGCCGTCCGCAGGCAGGAGATACGGGAGGCCGGGTAAGCGCGCCCTCAGGCTCCCGGATCCTGGGTTGGTCAGTGGTGACTGGGGGTGGGGAGTGGGAGGCGAATCCGCTCTAGGGAGGATACTGGCCGTTTTAAGTGGTTGTCTCCCTGCCTCTCCCTGACCTGTCCGGTGTCTAGACCCACCTCACGGTCTTGTCTGTGTCTGATTGCAGGAGCTGTTTGTGTCTTGTCTGCGCCATTCAGATGAGTGGAACACGCCGATGGCTCTTAATCTTGTGTTTGGCCAAAGCCATCCGCTGTCAGGTCCTACAACGTAGCGCTGAGTGGGCTTAGGTGGAAATCTCTGGTTCCCAAACACCTCCAGGGAAACGCTGCCCTGCTTCTGGGGGAGCAGGGGGGGGTTCATTTCTAATCCCCCTCCCTGGGCCTGCTGGCTGTGCTGCGGAGCAGTTAACAGATAGTTTGTGCTCTCTTTCCTAGGTGGGGTTCCTAGCCAGCTCCTGACTCCCCTGACGAGATTACCCGCCCCTCGTTGGCGCTGCCCAAGCCCCAGCCATGCCAGTCTGAGAGTCGGGGGCAAGATCCCAGAGCGGGGCTTGGGCCGTGTGGAGAGGCAGATGGTAAATGAGGCCGGGATTCCGGTATGAACTAGGCCTGTGCCATCCTCTGAACCCAATGCCAGCTCCTGTCTCTCAGCCTGGCTAGCGGCTCCCCTTGCATGGGGGCTTTTCCCCCTTCCTGCGTGGGGACCCTGGCAAGAGCTGGCCAGTGATTTGTGGTGGACCTTGTTGGTGTGAGTCCCGTGGGACGATGTCAGGTGCTGCCAGCAAGGGAGAAATGAAATTTACCTTCCTTCAGTGGGGGTGAAATCTACAAGCGCCTCCCTGGGAGCGGCCAGGCTGCGCTGCTTGGGGGCATCGACGTGACCATGCGCCAGCGGCCAGCAGATGGAGCAGAGCTGGATGCAGAGGCTTAGCTGGGCTCCACTGGGCCTGTCGGGGCTGCAGATCGCTCCCGCCAGCACTTACAGCCTAATCCTCCACCCAGCAGCTGTTACCTAGACGCCCGGCAGCGCCTGCCTGGCTCGCAGCACCTCAGGGGCGGCCTGAGTTCAGAAATCCGTCCGGGCTTGTGCGGGGCGGTGACCAGCGGAGCCATTCCTGGCTGTGAACTGACAGGACCTGGCCTCCTTGTGACAGGTAGGGAAACCGAGGCACCGATGGGGCTAGACAAGCTGGGCCTAGAAGCCGTGTCTCCCACCTCCCTCTGCGAGGTACTGCCCGCGGGCCAGGCTGGTGTTACTGTAGCGGGGTCTAGAGCGAGGTGGCTCCTCTTGGCAGAGCGGGACGGAGGTGATCTGGGATCTCCCCAGCTCTGCCTGGATCCTTTGCAGCCCCCCCTCCTCCCCCCCCGTTCGGTCCATCAGCCATTCCCCCCATTCCTTCCTGCTTTGGGTATTCTGCTCTTCGGGGACCCCGAAGGAGCACTGCGCCCAAGGCACTCGAAGGCTGTGGGAGCCGGGGATGGGTTACAGCGCGTGAGCGAAGCGGTCAGGCTGATGGCCGTGGGTGGCTCGTTAGTCGCCGTAACTCTGAGCTCCCCTCAGTGGCTGTCCTGGCCCCCACGCTGGGGTTTGCAGCTGAAACTGTTTGCGAGGTTTTGTCCTGCACCCTGTGAGCCTGTGGGCAGAGCAGGAGGCAATGGAGCGGCGGGGCTGGTGCTGAACTGGTGGAGGGGCATGGGCTGGCTCATGAAATGCACCGGCCTTCTGCTACAGGCCCCCCAGATCCACTGCCCCTCCAAACGGTGCCGCCTCCTCCAGCCTGACCATCTCCCTCCAGTGCCAGCCCCGCTGCTCTTTGCATCCCTTTCCCAGCCCCAGAGCTCGCCAGGCCAGGCCTTTTCCAGTCCCAGTGGGGCCTCGCCAAGCCCAGGGTCTATTTCAACCTGCCTGGGTCCCACCTTCAGCTGCTTCCAGCCGTGGGGTGCAGGAGATGGGGCCGGTGCGTCTCTCTGGCAGGTGCCGCCTTCCTCCCACTTGCTGGAGCCAGGGCAGAAGGGGGCTTCCCTCCATGCCGGTTCCAGTTTCCCGGCCCCTGTGGGGATCACGCTCGTCTCCCTGGCGCACGGTTCTCAGTGCTGTTCCTGGACGGCACCCCTGAGTTCCCATCCCCCACTTGGGTTTCAAAGCCCCCTCACTAATTGCTGGTGGCAGGAGGAGGGTTGGGTTGCAGGCAGGGTGGGACCCAGCTCTGCTGGGACACGGTAGGAGGATAATGCTCTGGTTGCCGCCTGCCCCTGGGGAGTCCTCTGGCGTCTTTGGTCCACTGCTGCATGAATGCTCCTACCCCTCCTTGTAGCCGACCTGGGCCCCAAACGCAGCAATGCCCGGAGACCCAGCCTGGCTCCGCCGCGGACGTGTCCTACGCACGTGTGCATGGGCGTTACCCACCCTAGCGCCCGCTAGAAATGACGTGGGAAGAGAAGAGACCCCCTAGAGACCATTTCTGGCCCAAGGCCTGGGCAGATGGGCCCAGAGCTGGTGTCCCAGATGGGCTGGGCGATGTCCATAGTGCTGCTGACTGAGGGTTGATCCTGTACCCAGGGAAGACGATGGCTTCAGTGGTGCATGTTTTCAGCGCTGTGATTCAGCCATTCCTACTTCAGCTGCAGCTTCGAGCTGTAGGGCCGGAGAGGGGGACAGAGATTCACACTGCACCGGTGGCTTGGGAATGACCCTTCCGCACCCCTCACTGCTTCGCTAGTAGCCCCAGAACCTGTTTGTGTCCTTAAAATCCCCAAGTCTCTGTCTCCTAGCTGGCCCCGAACCACCTGCCAGGCGCTGGAGCTGCTGTGTGCTGGCTGCTTCCCCTTAGACCCTGGCCATGTTGTGACGGGTTGGATCACAGAAACCCCCTTGGGGCTTCCAATTGATGTGCCAAGACTACTTCTGCCCGGGCAGCTCTGGACCCCAGCACCCTGTCTTGCTGAGCCGGACACACCTGTCTGCTCCAACACAGAGCCAGGGTCTGAACCACGCGCCCCAAAGCTGCAGACTTAACTGAAAGCAAGTTAAGAAGTGTTCCTGTCTATAGCACTCCGATGCCCAACTCCCAATGGGGTCCAAACCCCAAATAAATCCGTTTTACCCTGTATAAGCTTTATACAGTGTAAACTCATAAATTGTTTGCCCTCTATAACACTGATAGAGAGAGATGCACAGCTGTTTGGCCCCCTCTCCCCCCAGGTATTAATACATACTCTGGGTTAATTAATAAGTAAAAAGTGATTTTATTAAATACAGAAAGTAGGATTTAAGTGGTTCCAAGTAGTAACAGACAGAACAAAGTGAATTACCAAGTAAAATAAAATAGAACATGCGAGTCTATGTCTAAGAAAACTGAATACAGATAAAACCTCACCAGTTCCAGTAAGCTTCCTTTTACAGACTAGTCTCCTTCTAGTCTGGGTCCAGCAATCACTCACACGCCTGTAGTTATTGTCCTTTGTTCCAGTCTCTCTCCGGTATCCTTGGGGGGTGGGGAGGCTCTCTCTTTAGCCAGCTGAAGACAAAATGGAGGGGTCTCCCAGGGGTTTAAATAGACTTTCTCTTGTGGGTGGAGACCCCCTCCTCTCTCCTATGCAAAGTCCAGCTCCAAGATGGAGTTTTGGAGTCACATGGGCAAGTCACATGTCCATGCATGACTGAGTTCCTTACCAGCCAAGCCACGTTCTCGGGAAAGCTCCAATGTGGATTGGCGTCTTCGAGTTCATTGTTGGCTTAAGTGGTTCTTGACTGGGCACTTAATTTGCACACCCCTTTCTCAAGACGCTGCCCAAATGCTTTACTCAGGCTATGAAGCCAGTACACAGCCAATATTCCTAACTTCATGTACAAAAATGACACATGCCTACAAACAGGAGGAATGTGTTCAGTAGATCGTAACCTTTGCAGAGATACCCTAACCCTAAAACATATTCCGGTTATATCATATAGACGTTCATAAGCATATTCCCATGAAGCCTTATGGGGTACACCGTCACACACGTGACCTGCAAGGAAGCGCAGGAGGCCAGTGCTGTCTGGGAGTTCCCAAAAGACTGTCTCGCCGTCTACGTCTTACCCGGGAGGTACAGAGCCGCTTGCAGGATCCAGTGTCCAGCTGTGAGTGCAGGAGGGCGGAGGCGTCCGGATTCAGAGCGAGCTCCCCCAGGCGCTGGGCACTGCCCTTCCACTTAGTGGAGGAGAGGTGGGCTCAGGGGGCAATTTAAGGCACTAGTTTTTTCCCCTCAAGGATTTGCTTTCAAGTCCAGGTTAAATCACGAAGGACGTGAGTTTCTGGAGAGTGGTGTCTGGCTAGGAGCTACATGTTCAGATCACAGGGGCTGGCCTTTCAGGACATAATACTGGAGTAGTAGGAGGAGCAACAGAGCTGGGGGTGGGAGATGGGGAGCCCAGGGCTGGGCTAGCAGGGGCTGTGGGTTGGGATTGAGGGGCACTGACAGAGCTGGGGGGAGGGGAGAGGAGGGGGCTGGGTTAGCAGGGGGCTGAGGGTTGGGATTGAGGGGCACCAGCAGAGCTGAGGGGTGGAGGGAGCCCAGGGCTGGGATAGCAGGGGCTGCGGGTTGGGATTGAGGGGTGTCACGGAGTATTGGGGAACTCAGGGCCCTGCACCCCCGGCTCCCTGCGATTCACCATGACTCTCAGCCAGCCAGTAAAGCAGAAGGTTTATTTGGATGACAGGAAT